AAGGTAACTGGCTCATGAAGAAAGCTATGGGGCCTCTGTCCCCAGAATCACGGGCTCTGAACTGGAAAGGGCTACAGGAGTTTGTAGCCAAGGCCCTGGTTTCCACTAAGATGCATAGACTCCCCTTTCTCTGGCCCAGCCTAGAGGCAGGCACCTGGGCATGTTCTTGACTCAAGGGGACAGGATGCAGAATGATTAGGACCCCTGACTTCCTGACCAGCCTCACCTTTGTCTCACTCTCACTCCTCTACTTTTGGCTGTATGACCTTGGGCAAGTCACTTAATTACAGTTTCCTTGTGGGTACAGAGAGGATACTTCTTACAGCCTGGCACATATGAAATAGTAAGTGGTACTGTTTATGGTTATTGTTGTCCCCATCCCCCTGGACATGAAAGTGAAATATCGTGCTCCCTGTGCACAGATGGGAAGATGACTGGGCAGGGTTGAGATTTGTTCCAGCGTGTCTTGGTACCTGGATCTCCATATTCTTGTCCCAGGAACCGTGGAGGACTGTTCCCAAGATCATGGACTTCTTTCCACAGGGATTGGTGTCCATGTGCCATGTTAGTGGCTGGTGGTGTGGCTGGATGGGGGTGTTTGCATCACATCCCAGCAGAGCGCTTTGCCATCCCTGGCAGCTAGGCTGTTGTGAGAAGGAGCTTCGGGGTGTACCCCTCCACACATGTACCAGCCTCTGGCAGGCAGTTCTGGGGTCAGAGGATGGAGGGAGCAGATGGAGTCCCCAAGAACAAAGAAATGATAGTGAAGTCCCTGGGCACAATGTGTGCCCGGCACACAGTGGGGCCTCGATAGCTGTTCACGTAGAGTAAATGGAAGCAGCAGGTGTGGAGACATTCCAGGCCCTCGGCCCCCTCCAGGTGTGGGGGTGAGACTCTTCTGTGGCTGATGTCGCATGGCCAAGTGAGGCTGCAGGGGCCTGGCGTGGCTTGAATTGGAGACTGGGAGAGGGCGCGGTGGAGGGTTGGGGTGGTGTGTGTGGTGGCCCAGGTGGGAGGAACCAGGCTGTGGGCTGGGAGTTTCTGGGCTCGTCTGCTCAGGGGAGACAGCTCTTTGAGGACCCGTGGAAATAACTGGAGCTGCTTTATGGCTGTATGTCTCTTCTGCCTTCATCTTGAGCACTTTCTCGCCCCACTTTGGGGAGCAGGGGTGCGTTGTACGGTCAGTTCTTCAGTGGTGCCCGCGTCCTGCGAGTTCCATCGCGTAGTTCCTGCTCCAGTCCAGTGCAGAGCGTGGCTGACTTTCTTTTGCAGGCCTGCCTTTCTCGTTTCTCTTATTGATGAGCAGCTGGCTGCCCTCAGTTTATCCTTGAATTTGCCAGGTTCTTTTTTCCAAAAAAGGCTATTTTTGTGATAAACGTTTTTCTCTTTTTTTTGGAGGAAGATTAGCCCTGAGCTAACATCTGCTGGCAATCCTCCTCTTTTTGCTGAGGAAGACCGGCCCTGAGCTAACATCCGGGCCCATCTTCCTCTACTTTATATGTGGGATGCCTACCACAGCATGGTGTGCCAAGCAGTGCCATGTCCACACCTGGGATCCGAACCAGCGAACCCCGGGCTGCCGAAGTGGAACCTGTGCACTTAACCACTGCGCCACCAGGCTGGCCCCAACATTTTTCCCTTTTAAAAGTAAAGTATCACTATCTATACTTAAGAATATTTTTATATAGACGTGTAGTGGTACTTTACTTATTTGGTATAAAATAAACAGTGGGACTGTAAATAGTAATAAATGGCTCACATCCTTTGTAATAACCGTTTAACATTCTGGTTACTTTCTTTTGGATCTTCTTTCCCAGGCATGTATTCTTTTGTACCTAGTTGGAATTACAGTGTGCATATAATTTTAAAATTCTGCTTAAAAAAACCCCTAGGGGCCAGCCAGTGGTGTACTGGTGAAGTTCGTGTGCTGTTCATCAGCAGCCCAGGGTTCGCAGGTTTGGATCCCAGGCGCGGACATACATGCCACTCATCAAGCCATGCTGTGGCAGCATCCCACATACAAAAAATAGAGGAAGATTGGCACAGATGTTGGCTCAGTGACAATCTTCCTCAAGCAAAAAAGAGGAAGCCTGGCAACAGATGTTAGCTTGGGGCCAATCTTCCTCCCCACCCCCCCCCCCACCAAAAAACCTAAATGCTATAACTTGAACTATTAAATAAGAAGAACAATGAACAGACATAGGTTGATAATACTATTTGAGGAGCTCTACCAACATTTAGGGGGAAAAAATGCCAGAACTCCAAATAGAAAACTAGCGAGAGACATGAAGAGGATTTTCCACGGGGAAATAGAGATGGTTAATTCACCATGAAAGATAATCAGTCTCATTGTTGAAAGAATTGCAAATTAAAGCGGGGGATACCATTTCCCCTGATCATATTAGCAAAGATTTGTTTTTTAATCATCCTTTTACTTGTTGGACAGGATATGTGTAAATTGGAATGAATATTCTGGAGAGCAGTGTGACAATGCAAATCAGGAACCATGTATTTGTTTAGTAATTACGTTTTCTCCCTTGTGAATATCTTATGTCCTTTTCCCATCTATCTCTTAGGTGGTCTCAATTTTTTTATTGAACTATATTGAACATTTTAAAGATTTTATTTATTTTTTTTTCCTTTTACTCCCCAAAGCCCCCCGGTACATAGTTGTGTATTCTTCGTTGTGGGTCCTTCTAGTTGTGGCATGTGGGATGCTGCCTCAGCGTGGTCTGATGAGCAGTGCCATGTCCGCGCCCAGGATTCGAACTAACGAAACACTGGGCTGCCTGCAGCGGAGCGCGCAAACTTAACCACTCGGCCACGGGGCCAGCCCCTATATTGAGCATTTTAAATAGTAAAGGTAACTCTTTGTTAACCTATCCTATTTGACTACCCTATTTATAGATCTTTTTCACAATCTGTTGCCTTATTTATTTTTTTAAGTATCCAAGTGTTTTGTATTTTTTGTACGGTTATGTTTGTTGATTGGTTCTTTGTGATTCTTTTGTGGCTCCTACATTTAGAAAGTCATCCTGGGGCCGGCCCGGTGGTGCAGCGGTTAAGTGTACACGTTCTGCTTCAGTGGCCTGGGGTTCACCCGTTCGGATCCCAGGTGCGGACACGGCACCGCTTGTCAAGCCATGCTGTGGCAGGCGTCCCACAGATAAAGTAGAGGAAGATGGGCACGGATCTTAGCTCAGGGCCCGTCTTCCTCAGCATAAAGAGGAGGATTGGCAGCAGTTAGCTCAGGGCTAATCTTCCTCAAAAAAAAAAAGTCATCCTCATGTAAGAGGTGGTATAAATGTTAAATTCTGTTTACTTCTGATTTTTTTTTGTTTGATTTCAAAAAATATTGTTGCTGTTCAGAATAGGATCTTTAAAACCTGTATTTTATTACCGGCATGTAGGAATATTGTTGAATTTGCATATTTCTTTTGGAATAACCTTCAAAGGCTTGGAGGCCTGGGGGAGCCCGGCCTCCTTGGGGAGACAGGAGATTGCTGAGAGGTGGGCAGTGCTGTCTGAGTTGGTGAGTGTCCCTGGGGTTCAGGGGTTGGGGGGGCGATCACCAGTAATGGGGTCATCCAGGAAGCTTTCCAGAAGGGCTGGGATGGGAGCTGGCCTTGAAGTATAGAGAGGATTTGGAGAGAGTCGGGGTGGGAGGGGGAGAGTGGGAAGGGAGGAGAGAAGGCAGGTTTGTAGCATTCCCACTACGTAGCTGGCAGGCACTTTGTTAGGACTTTTAGTACTTTTTGTTACATTTCCTTTTCCTGATACCCCTGCTGGGTAGATGGGGACACCCCCGTTTTACAGGTGAGGAGACTGAGGCTCGTGGAACTGAAGTGACTTAGATGAGCTGGACGCCTAACTTCTGAGTCTCCGTGCTTTCAGTGTCTCCCTGCTGCCAGATATAAGAAACAGCTTTATTGAGATGCAATTCACCCCTTTAAAGTGTCCAACTCAGTGGTTTGAGTGTAGTCACAGAGTTGTGCAACTCTCACCACAATCCGTTTTAGAACATGTGCGTGACCCCCACAAAGGAGCCCCCACCCCTTAGTTGCTGTCCCCCAATACCCCCAGCACGAGGTGACCGCTAATCTACTTTCTGTCTCTGTCTATACATTTGCCTCTTCTGGACATTTCATACAAACGGCCTCATACGATATGTGGTCCTTGATGACTGTCTTCTTTCACTCAGCATGTTTTCAGGGTCCGTCCATGTTGTAGCCTGTGTCGGTACTTAATTCCCTTTTATGGCTGAATAATATTCCATTGTGTGGATATGCCACATTTTGCTTGTCCACTCATCAGTTGATGAATGTTTGGGTTGCTTACACTTTTTGGCTGTTGTGAAAAATGCTGCTCTGAATTCACGTGTAATGTGTTTTTGTGTGGACGTATGGTTTCATTTCCCTCAGATGTGCACCTAGGAGTGGAATTATTGAGCCACACGGTAACTCTAAGTTTAACCACTTGAGGAACTGCCAGACTATTCTCTCCAGCAGCTTCCCTGCTGCCTCTGGTGCAGGCTTGCTTTCACAGTGACGGGACTGGGAAGAAGGTCAAACCACAAAGTCTGTGGGAATTGCCTGTTTTCAAAGAAGTAGCTTATTTGTAAAATACTCTCAAGGCTCAGCTCCACTGTGGAGACTTTGATGCTTCTGGAGGGACTAGTGAATTCTGCAGCCCTCACAGACACTGCTGTGAATGCTGGGCATCGTGGTGCCTTCTGCATGCTGGCTGGTAGGCTGTGGTAATAGAGAAGGTGCTAGAATAAACCCTGAGGTTCAGGTATGAGGTAGGGACAAGTGTGATTAATGGCGATGAGGAAAGCTCTTGGAAGGCGGAGGGCAGGGTCTTGAGCCTGGTGCAGGCGAGACAGGCAGAAGAGCAAGGAGGCCGGGAGAGGAGACAGGGCCAGGGTCCACGTGGTTTGGGGCAAGTCCTTGGGCAGCTGCGGCCACTAACTCCAGTCTGCCTTTGTTCTTTGGCTGCAGATCTCGCTGAGTGTAAGCTGGTTTCCTTCCCCATCGGCATCTACAAGGTCCTGCGGAACGTCACCGACCAGATCCACCTCATCACACTGGCCAACAACGAGCTCAAGTCCCTCACCAGCAAGTTCATGACCACATTCTGTCAGCTCCGAGGTAGGCCTGGTCAGTCAGGCCAGGAGGGCGTGGCTAGCCCTCGTCCTTCAGGCTCCGACCCCGTCGGGGGAACGTCACCAGGGCCAGTCCCCACTCGGCTAGACCCAGGACATCATTCCCAGGGGGAGGCTTTGAGGATGGACCTGTGTCCTCTCTGCAGCCTGGAAATCTCTAAGCATCACTCCTGCCTCTAGCTGGCTGTAAATCAGATTGACTAATGGTCAGGGGCGTGGGTCCTGGAGTGATTCTCTTTTTCTGAACAGACCAGCAGAGTGTTTGTGGTCTTGAGGCCCAGGAATAGTTATTTCTTGATAGACTTGAATGAGCTCCCTTCTGACCACCACCCCCACCCCACCCCAATCTGGCACTATTCTCTTGTGCTGCTTTCTCAGTTCGGGAGTGACAGGTGCTGGGGTGTTGATGTTTTCTCTGCTGGACATACACGGACCTAGTGGACGAAGATGCCTGGCAGGGAGATGGGCAGGAGGCCAGCAGGTGGACATTGTAGTTCTTTTGAAATGGCTCCTCCGGATGGATGAGCAGGATGCAGAGCTCCTGCAGTGCCCACTCCTCCCTCCACAGAGCAGTCCCTCCATGCTTCTGCAAGAGTCCACAGCTGCCCAGTGACCCATGGGGTAGAGCTGCAGCCTGGGCACTTGATGTGTGTTTGTGAAATGGGGGGACAGGAGAACTGGGCGGGGGCACAAGAGGCAGAGGAGAAGTGTTTCCTGCCTTCTGGAATTCTTTATCTGATAGGAGCATGAAAAGGGTCTTAAGGGTCTGTTTAGAGAAACCAGTACATAAAATGCTGATGGAACATGAGAGACTTGAGCAAGCGTCTCTCATACAACTGATTTTAGGCTCCCTAGAGGAGCTCTGGGCATTGGGCAGAGCCCAGAGCGGAGAGGGAGGCGTGAATTGGCAAACCCAGTCTGAGGACAGGAAGCAGCCTGTACGTGGCTCAGAAGGGAACTACAGGCAGGGCCTGGGAAGGAGGAGGGATTGGTCCTTGTCGACACTTCTGAGTGAAGCTCCTGGAACTCATTGCATTTGTGCTGGCTAAGCTAAAGTACTTCTGACTGGGGGGCAGGAGCTCCTAGGGCAAGGTTTGTCTCCCCAGAGGCATCTGTGGGCACTTCGAACCAGGCCTGCCGTTCTCGTCCTTCCTTTGCTGGTGGCTGCTGCTCACATGGTGAGATGGGTCCCCACAGCCAGCAGGCCCTTTGGACCAGCAGCTCTCACCCTGACTGAATTAGAATAATCTGAGGAGCTTTGCTACAGACACGGTTGCCTTGGCTCTACCCTAAAACCAGTTGAATTAGAGTGTCTGGGCATGGACCTGGGCCTAGGCATCTGTTAAAGCCTGTACCAGTCATTCTAAAGTGTTGGCAGCCAAGGTTGAGACCATAGTTCAGGGGCTATAAATGCAAATGCCTAGGAGACTAGCATGTAAGTAGTGAGTGACTCAGATGGGGCATGGCATATGACGAGAGGGAGTGGTGTGGACTATGGCAAACTAGTGCGTGCCCTGCTCAGCTTCTGCCAGGTGTGCCATGAGATTGTTCTGATTGTTTTATTCAACAGAAGCTGGAAGTATGGATTTTTATGTGGGTTTTACCAATTTTTACATAATATGGAAGCTGATAAAACACATTTGCAAGCTAGGTTTAGCTCATGCACCACCAGCTGAGACAATCTCCTATAAATTATTAGAGCTGTCTCTGCCATCTCATTTCATGGATGGAGAGGGAAGGTCAGGGAGAGAAGGGCCTTGTCAGGCGTCTCAAAGCAGTACATCCAGGTCGCCCACCTTGCAGGCCAGGACTGCCTTTCCAGGCCACCTGCGTTAGCTCAAGGGTCCCCTAGAGATGTCTGCTTTTCAGAGGATGGTAGAAAGATAACAAACAGGTGGTAGGGGTTGTCTGGGACCTCCAGGAAGGGCACAGTCAGGCAGTGGGGCTTCCTTTGGGTAAAAGGAGAGTTCATTTGTGCTTTTCTTCATTCACCCTTCCCTTGAGTACCTGCTGTGTTCCAGACCTGTGTCCAGAGGCCGAGGAACAAAGGCCAGTAGGCCAGGTCTCCCCCTGAAGGAGGCCAGGGATGCAGAAGAGACTCGACAACAACACCGAGTGCTGATAGTGGTGTGGAAAAACCTGGGGCTGCCGGGAAGAGGAACTGATCCTTCCTAAGAGTGGCGTGGGCAGTGGGGTGGGTGTGGAGGCAAGGGCTTTCAAAGGAGTTGACATTTACCAGCGCCTTGTGGGGTAAGTTGGCCCTCTCCATGGGCATGGTGACAAGTGCTGGAGAAATGGGTCTAGAGCCCCGTGCATTCGTGCCTCGGCGTTGGAAATATATTTACCATAATACCTTTCCAGTCGGAAGTCTGTTGGGGGATGCAGTTTAACTCCCTCCTGTGCCGCCGCTGGCTCCTGACACCCCCACACCGCCACCAATTACAAAGGGACGGCCGTAGTGTGCCCGGTAATTGGATTTCACAGAGGTGGCAGCGATTGAGGGATGGTGACCCCGGGCAGGGAGGGGCTGGAGCTGAGAGACGCACCTGGCTCCCGCAGAGATGGCTCTGGGCCTAGCTTTTGTTGTGGTTTCTCTTTCAAATAGAAAATCCCTCTCCTTTCATGTGTGAAGAGGAGGCTTGAATAGGCCGTCTGGACTCTGCACCATCTGCCAGCATCCTCTTCTGAGCTCTTGGTGGAGGAGTTGGGCTGCCTTGGTGCTGGGGACAGAGCCATGTGCTTACTCCCTGCCTGCGAAGTTCTTTCCCCTGGGTGCCCTGGGGACAGTCTTCTGCTAGGCTGGTGGCCTTCTCAGAGTTGGGTCATCCTTAGATGGTTCCATTGCCTTGATATCCATCACCCATTTTATGGAAGGTAAAAGCCAGACCTGAGAAGGCCAATGGCACCATGGAATCCACCCAAAGGACAGGTGGGCCTTGTGGAGCGTGGGTCCCAATGTCTGGGTTGGCATGCAGATTTGGCTTTCCCCAATTGGTTCTAAGTTGGAGGTGGGCCAGCAAGTAGGGAAGCTGTCAGTTAGTAATCCAGTCCTGGCCACCTGGGGCCGGTTGTTACAGGAGGTATTATTTGGCTTCCTGGATTGTCGGTAGATAGCAACCTGACTTCCTGCAAGTCTCACAGCATACTAGCTTCCTGGGCTGGTTACCGTAGCAGAGGGGCTGGTTACCGTAGTGAAGGGGCTGGTTACCGTAGTAGAGGGGCTGGTTACCGTAGCGAAGGGGCTGGTTTCCTGGGCAGGTTACCGTAGGCTGTGGGTCAGAGTTCTGTTTTTATATTTGGTCTGGCCGTTGTCTGTGTGTTCAGTCTCTCACAGCCTGCCTTTCAACTCGGTTCAGCAGTGCCTCCTGAGCACCTGTTCTGGGCCCGGCCGTGTGTTCGAACACGAGAGTAATAACATGAGTCCAGGTTCACTGGGCGCTTAGCCCTCCCAGCTCTAAGCTGAGGGCTTTACACGTGTCATCTGGTTTAATCCCCATAGCACCCAACATTTGGGAAGGATAAGAAAACTCAGATCTAGACCGGGTCTTTGAGGAGCCCGCAGTCTCTCAAGGGAGGCAGGTGTGTAAGCAGACAGCCCTTGTAAGGTGAGGGCTGGCGAGCAGGCATTCACTCCTTGTCCGTTGGGCGTGCCGAGGGGGCCGAGGTCAGTGCTGCTCTGGGTGGGGGGCGGGTGACTTTGCTGCGGCTGCCATGTCAAAGGACTGCGTCCCGGGTGTAAGCAACAGACGCTGATTGCTCACGGTTCTGGAGGCCGCAAGTCCGACTGAGGTGTCGGCAGGTCTGGTGTCTCCTTGGGTTGCAGACCCCTCCTCACTGTGTCCTCACATGGCCTCTCCTCTGTATCCTGGTGTCTCCCTGTGCCCTAATTTCCTTTTCACGTAAGGACACCAATTGGATTGGATTAAGGCCACCCTGAGGGCCTCATTTTAATGTAATGACCCCTTTAAAGGCCTTATCTCCAAATACAGTCACTGTACAAGGTCCTGGGGACTAGGGCTTCAACGTAAGAATTTGGGGGGACACAGTTCAGCCCATAACAGCGGGGAAGCAGAGAATCTTTGGAGGAAAGGGCTTAGAGAGGGCCCTTGACAGATGAGTAGGAGTTTGCCAGATGGAAAAGGGGAATTCCTAAGGCATCTTTCAGGAAGATGGGAGGTGTGTTTCGGAAATGACTAGAAAAATGGTTCAAGACTGACACTTCAGAGCAGAGGGATATGGTGTGTCGTCAGGGCTGGCCTGAGGGTGACATCTGCCCAAGTGGGAACATTTGGGAAGAGTCCTGGGAGAATAGGTTGGGATAGGCCTGTGGAAAAGGCAGAAAGGTGTCTCAGACAGGAGAAGCAGCGTGCGGCAATTCACGAGGCCAGGAAGGTGGGCGAGGCGGCAGCGTGGCCAACAGTAGGTGTCTCATGGGCAGGACCTTGAGTGCCAAGTCCAGGCCTTATCTTTATCCAGCTCCCTGGGGAGGTCCTGGGACCCTTCCACCCCCAAAGTGGAGGGTCCCCTTACCAGGATGGCCTGCCGCAGGGCGAGGCTGGGTTCAGGCTGGCTGAGATGGGCTTCCTGGTGGCCGTGGGTGGGCAGGAGTCCCGCTGTTTTGGTCAGCTGGCTGGGTGCCTCCCTGGAGGCTAGCTGGCCTGAGGCCCTGCAGCTGGAGAAAACTGGGCCTGACAGAGCTGGGCCTGACAGAACTGGGTGCCAGGGGCTCCTGAAGAGGCGTTGAGTTGGGGAGCTGTCACCCGGGGGACTCCTGGGCAGCGTGGAGTGGAGACATCCTCGCTAACTTGCAGCTCGTTGCATGCTGCGATTTTTCAGCAGTAACAGGCTTCTTTTCCTCTTCCTAATGTTTCCCCAAGCATGTGTTCTTTGAGCTCCCTCTGACCGGGAGATGCCAGGGAACCGTAAACCCCAGGAGGAAGTGCTGGGGTCCCTTCCTTAAAACCAAGGGCTTCACGCATGTGATAT